TGGGTGTTGTTTGGCGTCATCTTGTTGGGTTGTATTATAGTAGAAAAACGGGATCAGCAATTAGTAAAAAACAAACCGAAAGAGTGTTAAGTAAATTGTTAGAGCAAGGAGGCTTCCCAGTAAAATCAAGAGCAGTCAGGGCATACGTCGATACAATACAAAAATGTAGCCCATGGCTTTTTAAGGAGGAGTTGTTAGATATATCACAGTGGGACCATCATGGTGAAGATTTAAAAAGAATAGAAAAGAACAGCCCAGGGACTCTGCCAGTTGGCACATTGCCATTGTGGACGTACATATCTGGTTTGCTTAGTCCAAAGCCTTCAATTCAGACAGAGGTAGAGGAAGAAGAAGACATATTGATTCAAGTAGAAGAGGAAGTCTCTCAAGTTAGTCAGAAAGAGGAAAAGATTCAAGTACAAGAGAAGGTCTTTCGAGCTAGTGAGACAGAGGAAGGAAGTTTAGAGCAGAAAAAGCCATCAGGGGAAAAGTTACAACAGGAGACTGCTAATAACACCTTTCTATCAGCGAGCGAAACTGTCCAACCAACAGCACCACCTCTACCAGAGGGCATAAGTGTCCAATCAACAGCACCACCTCCATATACTAGGAGACTCCCAACCCCCGCAGTTGATAGTTAGGATCCTGAGACAGGATCTCAAGTATTAACATGCCCTGTATTTGAGGTAGGAGGGCAGCGAATTTACCATACTTTAAATTTCAAATCAGTGAAGGAGCTAAAAGAGGCTGTAACAACCTATGGTCCTCAAGCACCCTTCACTGTAAGCTTGGTCGAATCCATTAACAACTTGAACATGACGCCAGCAGATTGGGAAGCTGTGCTAAATGGAGGTCAATACCTGTTATGGAAGGTTGCCAATGAGGAATTTTGCAAGGAGACGGCTAGGCGAAATGCAGCAGCTGGTTATCCTCAGAGAAATCTAGATATGTTGTTAGGAAAGGGACCTTATGAGGATCGGCAGCAACAACTTGCATATGATCCTGGTGTATATTTACAAATTGCTGTAAATGCAGTTAAGGCCTGGAAGACTTTACAAGGACATGGAGGTTTACAAGGTCAATTATCTAAGGTAATTCAAGGAGCTAATGAACCTTACGCTGAATTTATAGATAGGCTTATTCAAACAGGTCAATGAGCATCTCCAATGAGCATCACCACAGAGGAGCCAATCAGCTAGATGTTGCTGGGGCCGCTGTGAGCCAATCAGCTGGCAGCTGGAAGTTGCTGGGGCCGCTGTGAGCCAATCATCAGCTGGCAGTCTGAAGGGCGGGGAAACAGCCCAATGAGCATCACCACAGAGGAGCCAATCAGCTAGATGTTGCTGGGGCTGCTGTGAGCCAATCATCAGCCGGCAGCTGGAAGTTTGCTGGGGCCCCTTCGGCTGTGGCTCTCAACATCGTGTAGACTACAGAAGACTTAGAATGGGGTAAGCAGAACTAATGGTGATTCTAGTGGAGCTCAGAAGACCCAACGCTGATAGGAATGCAGACAGTAAAGACTGCGCTCATGAGGTTTCAGGGGTAAGGACTGTTGGGAACTTGACCAGAGGCCAATCACACAACATCCCGGCAAAGAAGTTGTCTATATTTTGCTCATTCATGTCCTGAGACTGTGGAGGATGAATTTAAAGATGATGGCCTCATTAATCTGCCAGAGAAAATTTCAAGGCAGCACAGCATTCAGGCTATGGTGTGGGTTTTGCTGGTAGGTTTTAGTCAGGCTTACTATGAGAATCAGGAGAAAGCAGAGAAGGATTTTTGAAACTTTCAGTTTGGCCAGAAAATTGTGAGCAACTGGGGACCAAGGAAGGTGAGTTTATTAAAGAGACTGTAGCCCTTAAAGAGATGCCAAGTAGTTGGCACAGAGACAATAGGAAAGATTGCTGGGGGGCATCTCTGACATTGGCACAAGCACCCCCAACACAGACACAAGGTGTAAAAGTAAAAGTGTCTTTGAGAAGAGACCCTAGCGGTACCTGCTGGCACGGGCGGTGGGGTGGGGTGGAGTTGGGGGTAGGAGGTTGTTTCACAGGAACTCAGAGGTCACCACAGCCACCATCCCAGGGAGCCCAGCACTCAAGTGGGGCCAGACTTCGGCCTCATCCATGGAGGTTCTGCAGGAACGCAGCGTGCTGGAGTCACGGGTCACCGAGGCTCCACGGAGATCTCACAGGAAGGCCTGGGAGGCCAGGCAGCGGGCAGCAGGTCAGAGTCCCTGAGGGCGGCTCCTGAGAGAGTGACAAGGCTGTGAAGGTAAAGCTGAGACTGGAACTGAGACCCCAGGAATGAAGGCGCGATGCGGGCTGCGGGGCCAAGCTGCTGCTGTGGAGACCGTCTGAAAAGGATCCAGTGTGCGGAAGCGGGAGGCAGAGGTGCCGAGCTCCTTGGAGAGCACATCTCAGTGCGTGTCCAAAGCCGAGTGTGGACTTGTCTGCCTGGCCTGGGTCTGGCGTTTCTGTCCCATCCCTTCTTTCCACGCCCTTATTGTCCTTTTTGGAGGGGAATGGGCACTCCGTGCCCTCTGTTTGGTGAATTTGCTTTGGATTTTTACAGGGACTCGCAGCCAGGAATCTTCCTGGAGTCTCAGATGAGCCTTGGGACTTGGGCTTTTGGGCGATGTTGGACCATGGACGTTTGGAGATGGACTGAATGCCTTGTGCATCATGAGGTGGACCTGAGCTTTGGGGACCAAGGGCAGGACGTTGTGGTCTGGGGTGAGGTGTCTCCCAGGTGGTCCTGTGTAATGTGGAAACGTTAGGAGGTAGATGACTGCGCTGTGAGAGCTGTGTCCCACTGGGTCACTCCTGGCTTGATGGGGCTGACGTGGTGTGACTGTGGAGCAGGTGGGCGTGGCTGCAGGAGGGGGGCCAAGGGAGCTGCCCTGCAAGGGAGCATTTCCTGTGGCCCCTTCCTCTCTCTCTGCGTGTGGGCCACTCTTCCTTGGGGTGCCCTTCTGCCATGCATTGAGGTCTGAGGTCAGCTCACCCTGGACTGACCCTCCACGAGCCAGAATAGACCTCTCCTCCTCCAAGTTCTTCTGTTGAGTGTTTGTTCACAGTGACCAGAATTCTGCCTGATACACTGTCTTAGGAGCTTCAATTGATCATGAAATTTATATTATAATCTAAAATCTAGAGAACACAAAATAATACAGTAAAGAACAATGAGGGAGAGGAAGGCACTAGGAACCAGTGGGGGTGGCCCTGTGGGCAGCACGGGTGGTAGGACTCTGTGTGTGTTAGAGAGAGGGCACAGCTTCATTCCTGTGCTGTCCATGGCTCTGGGGATGGGGAGACGGGGGCCGGCCACGACACCTCCCACCCTTGGGCCAGCTGTCCACCATTCCTTATGCCAGGCAGGGCCTCCAGGGTCTGTGGGTTGATGAGTCAATAATCGATCTGAGTCACCTCATCTCATGGCCCCCACCCTCCACACACCTTGTCCCCATCCTTTGTCCCCCTCCTTGCTTCTTCTCCACCACCAGGGCCCCTCCTCAGTGCACAGTCCCAGGGTCGGGTCTGAGCGCTGGCCCCAAAGCTGGGCCCAGGCTCTCCCCACCCCCGCGCTGGACACTGGGTTGTGCTCTGGGTGGGAGGTGTCCCCGGAGCTCTCCTTTCTGCAGAGGCTCCAAGTTCTGTCTTAGATCTTGTTCCCCGTCAGAGCGGCGGTGAGAGACGGCAGAGGAAGAGGGCAGGCTCAAGTGCCCTCCTGGGCCTGTGGCCACGGGCTCAGCCTGGGCAGTCCACCCGTCCTCGAAGCTCTCAGAAAGCCGAGCCGCCCTGCTACGTCTGCCCCTCTCATGTCTGAGCTTCCCGCAGCAGGACAGGGGCGTCCACTGTGAGAGCCGGCCACCGTGGGCTGTGTTGTCCCTGTGTCCATGCACAGCAGCAGGGCCCCAGGCCCCCTGCGCCTCCCTCCCCTCATCACCAGTACCTCCCTGTTGGCTGCTCCTCCACGGCACCTGGAGGACTGGCGAGGAGGGCTAGCTGCCCCTGCTGTGGGCACCACCAGAGCCCCACAGTGTAACCAGGCCACCTCCCAGTCTCGTGTCCTACACTGCCCACCAATCCTGGCCACCAGGGCCACGAGGGGACCCAGACACTTCCCCCAGGGTCGCCTCCACCAGGAGGGCTCTCTCCAGTCCCCTCCTCAGGTCTTCTGCAAGACCACATGCCATGGCCACAGAGGAGGGCTGAGTGGGGCAGAGGCCAAGAGAGGAGTCCAGAGGCAGCCTGGCCCGGGGAGTCCACAGTGCATGCACGGCCTTCTCTCTCTCTCTCTCACACACACACACACACACACACACACACACATGCACTCACACACACACACACACACACACACACACACACACACACATGTACTCGCACACATACGCACACACACTCACACATGTACTCGCACACATATGCACACACACGCACACACGTACACACGTGTACTCGCACACATGCACACATATGCACACACATGCACACACGCACACACATACATGCGTGCGCACACACGCACACACAGGCTGACAGTGCACACACCTCCACTCGTGTGCCCCTGTGAGCCTAGATGCTTGTGTCTCCAGGATGCCTGCACTCACAGCAGACTTACCCACATGCTCTGTGCCCACATCCGTGTGCAGGCCCACGCACACACACACACCTTCACCTGCACACACACGTGCCCCTCCACACATGAGTCTGGACTGTGTCTGGGCTGGGAGCCCTGGGGCAATGTGGAGGGCATGCGATGAGTGGGGGCCTCGCCACGCAGCAGGCACCTCGCTGGGCTGGCCTGGACGTGGCCCGAGGAGGATCAGCCCTGCAGATGGGGCAGGCCCCTGGGGTGGGCATGGGATTCCCACAGCACTGGTTTGTGGGCAGGGAGCCAGATTGGCCCTTGGTCTCCAAGGACATCTCCTCCCAGCCTCTCTTTCCTCTTGCAGATGGGCCTGCACTGTGTCCCTCCCCCACCGCTGGCCTGAGTCACCTCGAGGACTGCTGTGTTCCCAGGCCCCACTGACCCAGCTGCAAGCCTGGAGCTGCCGGCTGCCCCCACCTTCCTCCAGCCTTGGCTCCCCACGCCGGCTGCCTCCCCTCCCCCCGGGCTCCCCTGCTGGTCCCCGAGCATCAGGACTGCCCTGAGAGGACTGTGCTTGGTCCCTTCCTTTCATTCAGGAATTGCCCTCAGTGTGGGTGTCCCTCAGCGTCCGCGGACCCCTAAGCAGCCTCCACCCGCAGGAGCCCCCGGCCGTGGGAAGGTCCTTTGCAGCACACGGTCCTCGCGGAGCCGGGCAGCCTCAGGTCTCCGTGCCTGGCACTGGTCTGGAAGGGGGTCAACTGAGGCAGGTCCCTGTCCCCGCAAGTCTCCCCTGGGCCGACCACACGGGCTCTGGGGAGTTTCCCTGGCAGCCGGGTCACTGGTAAGAGAAGGCTGCCCAGGGCAGGGGCAGCAGGCACAGGACCCTGGTGGTTGTGTGGAGGGAACCCCGTGCGTCACGGGAGACACCAGCTCCTGGAGTGTGGGTGGCGGGTGCAGAGGACATGTTCCCGGGTCCTCGGGCTCTGCACTAGAGGAATCCCACCTCCCGACAGGAGACTCGCAGAGCGGTGCCCCCAGCCCTCAGTGCGTGTCCACCAAGACGCTGAGCGTGGACACACACAGGAGTCTGCAGCGGGTGCTTCGCCGGACGTCCACAGAGGCCAAGTTCCCCGGGAGTGGCCCCCCAGCCTGCACAGACACAGGCCTCATTTCCTCCTCCTCTGGGTTCTCTCTCCCCCACTCGGGGCTGCCGGTCTCTCCATGTGGTCCTTCAGGTGAGCTCCCTCCTGGGCATGAGTGCTGGGCTCCTGTCCCTGTGGCCAGCCCAGCTGGCCTTCCCTCCTCTGCCTGTCCAGGGCCCCTGCAGCTAGACAGGAGCTCACCTTCCTGGTGGGGGGAGGGTGGCCGTGTGCCCTCGCCCTCCCTCCCCAGGCCCCAGGTGCTCCGTGGACTTGGGTCCCAGGTCCTGTCTCTCTTCCCTGTTTATCAGCTCCCCGGCAGAAGCCACGGCCGCCCCCTGGGGCCCTGCTGAGGCCGCTCGAGCTCGACAGGGAATGGAGGGTTGGGCATGGTCTCCCGGCTCAGCCAGGATGCAGCTCCACTCCAGAGGCCTCAGCTGGCCAGCAGGGACAGCACCTTGGAAGACACTTCACGGCACTGTGTGCCCTCCCCTAGGACCCCGACAGCGAGGGAGGGAGAGGCCCAGCCTTCGGCCCACATGGACATGTGATCTCCCCGGCCTTTTGCCCGGGTCCCAGGACATCTCCTTTCCCACGAGGCTGCTGAGAGCCACCATCCTGCCACTGGTTCTACAGAGGGAAGGGACATGGCCATCCACGGGAGGGCACCTTGGTGGCTGTTTCCATCCCACACTGGGGAGTCACTGTGGTCCTGGGGTTCGCCACGGCCAGTCTCTGGTCAGGGCCACCCGAGCACCCCTGGATCCTGGAGGGAATCCTGACTTCATGGGAGCCTCTTTGAGAACCTCTCGGGGGTCCACGTCCCCCACTGCTCCTGCCGCAGCCCTCTCTGCCCGACTCCTCTTCGTGGGACACAGACGTGTGGGCTGGTAGGGTTGTCAGTCGTCCCAGTGTTCAGAGGCGGTGCCAGATCACGGCTCCACATGGAGGGAAGGAAGCCAGGGCTGGCCTCGTCGCTGGGGGCCCCCGCCAGCTGGACAGGAGTCCTCGGGGCTGCTCACCCCACCAGGGTTCAAACAGCCCGGGTGAGTCACATTCCAGCCACTTCCTTCAGGATACATTTCCCAACAGCCAAGCTTCTCTCCCAGCAGCCGGGAAGTTCCCATCTGTCAGGACATGCGACCAAGAGCAGTGCAGACCCAGGGGGAGCCGTGACTCAGCAGGCCCCGCCGCTGGCCGAGGAGCAGGCTGGCCCAGGCCGGGCTCCACAGCTCTCCCAGAGTCCACTCAGCAGCACCCGCCGAGCCCTGCAGTGTTGGGCACCATGTCGGGACACCCAGGGGGGCAGGGGCATCCACTCCAGGAGCCCGCAGGGCAGAAGCCAGGGCAGGCCAGGAGGGGGTGAGGCCAGGAGGGGGCAAGGCCAGAGTGACACGGAAGACCAAGATAGGACACTCCCAGGTGCTGCCTCGCACCTGCAGACAGGGCAGGGGGAGACAGGAGGACGGGGATGAAAGAGCGGACAGTGGTGGAAGAGGGGACAATGGAGTGGAGGAGGGGGACGGTGTCAGGGAGGCCCTGTGCCCCTGGCTGTGGGCAGCCTGCGGCAGGTCGAGGCACGAGGCCATGCTGTGGCATGTGTCCTGTTCCTCTGGGGCTGGCCACACCTGTCCCACCTGCTGGACACACTTTGGCTCCAGGGGCGCCAGCAGGTATTTCCAGGAGACGCACACGGTGGAGCAGGAGTGCTGGTCACCGTGTGGAGCTGCTGGACTCCAGGGACAGCAGGGACTGGTGCTGGAGTGCTGGGCAGAGGCCACCTCATCTGAGGGCCGAGGCTGACACCACCAGGAGCAGTCAGGTGGCGTCCCGCCTCAGGTGTCCTTCCTAGAAGTCCAGGACCCTGCCGTAGGCCGCTGTGAGGCCGTTCTGCAGAGGCCCTCGCCAGGCTGCTGGGGCCAAGTCTCAGACAACAAGGAAAGTCGGAAAAGCTGGCCCCCACCCAGGACCAGGGCGATTTGGGGAGAAGACAGCCTGGTTCTGGACAGACAAGCACAGTGGGATGGCTGAGGGACTCGGGCAGCGCGTCGTCCACAGCCTCGACCCCAGTTCACCTTAGCTCTGCTGTCACAGCGGGGGAAGCCCAGTGGGGACAGATGGACGCTGGAGGGTTTGAGACTCTTCTTACACAGGAAGTCTAAAGTCACCTCCAGATAAACGGTTAAGTAAATTAGTTAAGACCCCAAAGTCTTTGCTGGAACTTAATATTTATCAGCAAGTTGGGGGGGGGTCCTGGGATTGAACCTGGGAGGACTGTGCCACTGAGCCCCAGCCCCAGCCATTTTTACGTCTGATTTTGACCCGGGATCTTGCCAAGTTGCTTCGATCCTTGCTGAGTTGCTGAGGCTGGCTTTGAACCTGCGGCCCTCCTGCCTCAGCCACCCGAGTGGCCGGGATCACAGGTGTGGCCACAGCCCGTTCTCTCAGCGTTGTGAAGACCTCCACCCAGAGTTTTGGTCTCCGTTGTTTCCCGGGGAGTTAGTGTGATCTTCTTTCCTTTGATAGAAGCTACCACCTTTCCTGCTTTTAGGACTTTCTCTCTTATTCTCCGCAGCCTGTGTCTGGCGGGCAGCGTCCCTCCTTCTGCCTTTGCCTTGGCCTGGTCAGGGCTGGCTCCCCAGGAGCTGGGTGGCTGGTGCCTCAGGCCGCGCTGCATGCTCCCCCACCTCCCTCACACTGGTGTAGGCATGGGCTGAAGGGCATGGGCGATGGGCATGG